TTTCCAGAGTCTAGATTTATTCCTGTATTCGCTCTAGATGGACAGCTTCATCTATAGGAAAGGAAGGATATTTTTCTTTTCCTTTTGAAGCGGGATGTTATTAGCTGCTCTCGAGATGGCCTCCGACTCATGGTGACCCCATGCACAGGGGAATGAAATGCTGCCATCCCCGTGCACGGTTGTGGATCAGATTATTGTGATCCATAGGATTTTTCATTGGCTGGATTTTGGAAGTGGATTACCAGGCCTTTCTTCCTAGTCCATGTTACTCTGGAAATGCTGCTGAAACTTGTATTCAGCATTGTAGCAACATGCAAGCCATCACTAACAGACAGTGGTGGCTGCACATGAGGTGCATTGGCCAGGAATCGAATCTGGGTCTCCAGAACAGAGGACTAGAATTCTACCATTGAGCTGCCACTGTCTCCTTGAAGAGGGATACAGCCTGTTTTTTCTCATGAACTATATGCTTCTATGGAAAGCAGTTGATCATGAAAATGTATGATGAACACAGAGAAAGCACAGAATTTGAGATTGTTTGAAATGTACTCTTGCAGTAGCATTTTTAAGAGGAAACAGTCATAGTCGTGTAGGAATTTATTTCCTGCAGATAGTTCAACAAGAAAATGTTGGTCAGGCAAGTTTTTTATTCATCTGTTTCAGTGGCTGGGAAAGTACAATCCATGGACCTGTTTTTTGAATGGTCATAAGCTAAGATTGGTCTTTATATTTTTAAATGGTTAAAAAAAACAAAAGAATATTTTGTGATGCATGAAAAGCCTATGAAATTCGTTTGTGTCTATAATTTTTTATTTAGAGCCTGATCATGCCCATTCGTTTACTTACATCGTCTGTGACTGCTTTTGAGCTACAATGGCAGAGTTGTGTCATTGTGAGGAGGCTTACAGTCTGCAAAGCCTAAAATATTATTACCTGGTTCTTTATAGAAAATGTGTGCTGATATTTGTTCTGTATAATGCACGTAAATGCAGATATTTATTGCAAATCGTTTTCTAATGTCGTATTTTTGTTTGTAAACCCTGGTGACACTTCTGGTTGCAGCATATTTTTCATTTCAGTGTCTTCTCATTTTCCTCTTTTACTTTAATTGCTCTGGGACTGAAAATGTAATCTTTTATATTCTGATCGGGAAGGGGCGTAAATATACTTTAAATCTGTCTACTTGCATCTTGAAATTTTTTCTTCGTCCTCTTGAAAAGCCCCAGTTCACATGAATGTAAGAACTGTCTGAACTTCACTCATTTGTTTCAGTTTCTGTTAAGATTATTATTTTGGCCAGCTCTGAGGTGACGTGGAGCTGAGCGATAGCGTCTTTCTATTTGTGGAGTATAACTTAGAGTATTTTCTTCTGGTGTAATTGATTGTTGTTTTTTAATATTAAGTACATTAGCGGATGTGTGTACATATCTCAGCTGCTTCTACCTTTTCTGTTTTAGGGAGGTTCTGGCACACATGCTTAGTCGTTTTGACAAACTGTCAAATCTCTGGAGTGGTTCATTTGCAGCAGAGATTAGCAATTTCCAGAGCCATTCACAAAAGCCCAATTGATTGGCGTGGCATTTTGTCAACAAGCCTCTCATATTAGAGTGCGTCACTTAGCAGCTCAGCTGCCAGGGAAGTGGATTTGTTTAGAGTGTCAGCTTCTTGCCTACCCTTCATGTGACCTCAGACAAATCCCTTGACCTGGTCTATAAAACTGTCTAAATCTCATTACAGCTAGAAGGCTGTTGGGAAGATCACACCGCTGTGTGCATTATTACTTAGTTTATGATACCTGACAAGACATTCTCCTTGTAGTAAATAATTCTTTTTATGGTTTATTTTGGGGATATAGAATGCTGTTTTTGTAACTTACCTAGTGTAGCTCCAGCCCACTGAAGGAGAGAAAGGAAGTATCCCTTGACCTGTATTTTTATCTCTGTTGTTCCTGAAGTTGATCGAATCTAGGATGATGCCTCCTTTCACATGGTGGCCTGACTTCTACTGAAGTAACACAACTTCATTAAATTAGACTAAAGTAGATAGTTGGGCTAAAGGAAAAGTTTATATTATAGAACATCCAAAAAAAATTCAGTGTGCCAATATGAGAGCCTAAAGTCTCCTTCACAGGCCTAGGTCACGTTGTTGTTACCTGCCATCTGTGGTGACCCTGTGCACAAAAGAACGAAATGTTGTCTGGTCCTGCATTATCCCCAGAACATTGTGCAGATCAGAACATTGTGATCCATAGGGTTTTCATTGGTTGACTTTTGGAAGTAGATCGCCAGGTCTTTCTTCTTAGTCTTTCTTAGTCTGGAAGCTCCACTGAAGCCTTTTCAGCATCATAGCAACATGCAGATTTCCACTGACAGATAGGTGGCGACTGTGCATTAGATGCATTGGCTGGGAATCGAACCCTGGTCTCCCACATGGAAGGCGAGAATTCTACCATTGAAACACCAGTGTCCCCCTGGGTCACATAATTAGTGTTTCATTGCCTAGGAGCATCACGGTGGCCTTCCTTTCTGTGGACTCTGAGATTATTGTGCACTGTGCATATTAGCAACCCGATATGGTTCGTTTATGTTATTTATCTAAAACACTGCAACTTGTTTTAGTTTATACTACAGTTTTGGGGCAAGTGTATTTCATAAGTGTACTGTCAAGTTTTTTTCTTTAAATCTGTCCTAAAAGTATTCTCCTCCCGCCAGTGTCATGGTGTTTGGGAAATGGCTCTAATTTCTATGTATCTACCTTTTAATGTATACATAAGATTGAATTATAAACCCTTTCACCTGCTGCCTCTGGATTAAAAAGCTCTGAATGTCTAACAAAAGTGTTTTTACTCCGTTGGACTCTTAGGTTCATTTTCCTTGGACCTGTTCTAGCATCATTTGATTGTTAGAGGTTCAACCTGATGTTTATACCAAATTCGATTAACCTTTTGGTTGTTTGGTTTTTTCTTCCCCCTAAGATCGTTATATGGAAAGTTTTTTTTTTTTTAAATGCCCTCCTAAGAAGACAAATTAGAAATGGTTTGGAATTAACACATTGTAAACATGCTACTGGGTTTGTTATCAAATATATTCAAAACACTTTTCCTTATGCTGATTTATAGCCTTACATTGTTAATCTGCTTTTTAAGCAAATAAAATTAAATCTTAGCTATAACACATTTTTTAACTGATGAGATTTTAGTTTAGAGATCTGATTAAGTGTTATGGTGGCGCAATGGTTAAGATCTTGGCTGCTAACCAAAAGGCCAGCGGTTCGAATCCACCATCTCCTTGGAAACCCCATGGGGCAGTTCCACTCTGTCCTGTAGCATCGCTATGAGTCAGAGTCGACTCGACGGCAGTGCGAAATTAAGTGTTATTCTCAGATATTTTAATGGAAAACATTTGTATTCAGCTAGACAGTTGGAGTTGCTGGTCTTAGCAGTGATGTGTTTAGAAGCAGATTTGTTGGAGGGTGCAAACAGGTGGTAGACAAATGAGGCAGTGTCTGTAATTGTACAGATGTGGCCTCTATATATAGCAGGTAATGGAAGCAATGAACTTGAACCCCAAGTGCATGGTGCTCAACTGTTCATTACACTTGCAAAGAAATTTTCCTAGGCTACACTAAAATAAGGTTGTAGTTATTTTAGAATATGAGCTCAGAGGAAAGGCACAGGTGCTTTGTGAAAGCAGTGTTCAGTTTCACTAGAAGCCAAAAGAGGCTTTATAACCAGTGGGGGTTTTCATTTGAGTAGCCAGAGGATTTTTTTCTGCTTTTATGTAATGGTGTCTGGATACTTCTGTATCTCTGGTTTACTTTTAGTATTTTCCTGGAGACTTTGACTAGATAGTTAGCTCAAATAGACGTAGGATATGGATTTTTCCTATCATGTGGAAGGTGTTTACATAACAAACAAAGGAAAAGAAATGAATAACTCTCAACTTAGTTTATTGGTATTTTCTTCAGGGTAGATTGGGCGGAAGAAAGCGGGTTACCATAAGAGCCTTGGAGCCTTTTGGGTCCTGTTGAACACTCCGTTCTCTCCTTATTCTTTATTGGTGAATAGGTATTTCTGGATTAATATAATTTATTAATCAAAATTTCCTTTTGATTTCTTTTCCAGTAGGTGTCTAAGAGTTGGCTGTGGAAGCTGTCAGCTAAACTTGGGCATGGATTTCCTATCAAACTCACTTGTTTTTCCTTTTCTAAAATTTCATCTATGTTAAGTTCTTTCTTAGGAGAGAAACGCACGTACACATAGAGATTTTTTCCCCCAGCATCTGTTTCTTCTTGGTATTCAAATAATATCAAAGAACAGTTTCTTCTATTTGATGTATAGTGTTACACTGTCAATAGTGATAATTGATGGAAGACTTACAATTGCAGTTCTATACTTCCAAATAGATTATTTTTAAAAACCTTGAATTGAAACCGTGAAGAGGAAGAGGATCCTGGCATTAAAGTAAGAAGCTTTTGCTATAAATGCAAAGCCAGAATTATGCCATACCAGAATGAAATGGCATCGTATATGGAATGAGCCCTGGAACATGGAGCCAGCAGAACTATCTTCTAGCCCCATTTCTACAAATAATTAGTTCCGTGACTTTTGACAAGCAGTTTAACCTCCTTGAATCTCATCTGAAAACAGAAGGTTTGGAACTCAGCATGAAAAGTTCCTTATCGCTGAGAATAACAAGGCATTTTCTTCTCTTCACATACCTGATGGCAGATATTCACTCATTTGTTCACTCTGTTAGGGGAGCTGGGGACAGAGCACTGTAAGACACAGACGCACCTCTTGGGAGCAATTATGGTCCAGTGGAAGGAGACCGGCCCAGTGATATGAGTCTTTTCATTAAATGTCTGTAGTGGTAGAAGACTTAGAAATGCCATGACATTTATTTGGCTTAATGTATAAAATACAAATGAAATCAAACTTAATCTGAGGAGGAATGTTCCATTCTCGACCTAATGATGTTTGCCTTTTCTTCTGATTTTAGGAGCTTATTTAATGAGAAAGTGCCATAGACTGAAAAAGCAAACATGAGGGTGGCAGGTAAGATAATTTAATTCAGTAGAAATAATTTTGCCTTTTGTATCACGGGTTTGTTCAGTAATGACCAAAGGAGAGAGCAAATAGTCTTTATCTACAGTGAAGGTAGAGCTGAAATGTAGCAAGCTAAATCATTATTTAGCCTTTTTACCTTTTTTATGTAAGTGGCAAATCACAGATTGGACATTTAATAAGTACTGCTAACATACTTTTTTTTTTTTTTGCACATACTTTTGTTGAAATTATTAATGTTAAATGTTTTAATTATGGTTTTAATGTTTTACGTTCTTACGCATTAAGCTTATGTGCCGAATAATGTCTATGTAAAGAATAATTTTGCCAACCAGGGGCTGGTATTTTTTTTTTTTTTGCAAAGTTTTAACTTGTTGAGAAAAATAAGTTGTAAAGTTTAAAACTTTAAATCTTACCTGTGTGCAGTTAAAACTAGTCTATGTAAAGGATTCAATAAAATATGTATTTTAGCTCAAGTGGCCATGTATTTGTTAAACTTCAGTCTGCGTAAGTGAGGTTCTATGTAAGAGCAATGATCTGTTTCTTATGCAGCATATTCATTGAATAGCATCACTTGATGTTTATAGTATCAAGGTAGTTATCTTTAAACATGAAAAGAGAGATTCATAAATAACTGGAGGGACTGATGCCCTCTCTCTAGCTTTACAGTGAACAGAAGTGTGTTCCCTCCTCCAGCATGGCCAAGACCCCGGAAGATATGCACGCTTTACATAGAAATTTCTAACAAGTATGTCCCCAGCGTAGGAGATAGCTTGTAATTTTTCAAAATGAAGATATGTAGTCTTTCTTTTAATTATCACTGTCTCATCAGCAGACAAAATATTTTCCTGTGGGGGCACCTCTTAGAAGTGCCCAAAGTGCAGGTGGGTGAACAACCAAGTCTTCATACCTCAGTCATAAATGTATAGAATTAGGAGCAGGTGATTAAACATCATGAACAACATCATCAAAGATAAGTAAGGGTAGTTCATAAGTGCTTTTGTGGAAACAAAGGAGCCATAGTGGTGCAGTGGTTAAAGTGCTTGACTGCTAACCAGAAGGTTGGCAGTTTAAACCGACCAGCCGCTCCGCAGGAGAAAGATGTGGCAGTCAGCTTCCGTAAAGATTTACAGCTTTGGAAACCCTATGGGGAGGTTCTCCTCTGTCCTATAGGATTACTGTAAGTCAGAATTGACTAGACACTAGTGGGTTTTTTGGAAATAAACCCATTTGAAAATCTTAGTCTTTTTGTCATGACAAAACATCTCTGTTTTGCCAAGACGCTGGACAATTACTGAAGAAAAAATACACCAGAACCAAGGCCCTGTTTGTGTTTAAAAAAAAAAACATGTTGCACCATCTTTTTTGTGATGTCCGAATGCAACAGGACCAGAGATTTGTCACTACAAGTTAGCTAGCCAGATGTTTTTATCTCCAGATGATTTTAAAAGTACATTATTAAGCATGATGATTTGAAATAAAGCATATTTCTCTTTCTTATGTAATTCTAAATCCACTCCCCTTGAAATTAACTCTATTACCTAATCCGTTTCTCTAATGGTGACAATTGATACCCAGGTTAATTGGTGAGTAATTATTCCGAGTGCTTATTTTGCATTTGGCAGTATTCCTAGTATAGATCTTGAGGGACCATTAATGAAAGAATAAGGAAGATGGGTTATTAGCTTATTGTTTTTAACTAAATAATTTCTTCTAATAAAAAAAAAAATTACCCTGGTCACTTTGAGATATTCCTATAGCCATCATTCTTACAGTGAAAACAAGGTCTGAAGTTTGTGCCTTTTGATTTTTGAAAAATTGGGAAGAAAGTGTTGGATGGTGAGGCCCTTCCAACCCCAGAACTGGATGGGGGTTCTGGATTCAGACGAGCTCTGGAGTTACCCTCCACAAAGAAATCCCAGAACTCCACCATTACAGAGACTCAGCTTGTCTTCCCCTTTTCTCAGGGATCATCTGTCTTCTGTTACCCATTAGTATCCCTATGTCTTAACTTTTTTCTCTCTTATACCTCTTGTTTTCCTCCTGGTTTTTGCTTTGTCCTAACTTTGAGTTTATGGCTCCAATTCTTTCTACTTCTCAGCCTTCTCTGTGCATCCTTCTAACTTGACTCTGTATTTCCAATGAAAATTCCTAAGAGAGAAAACAGTCGATCTAGTTTGTTTCTCTATGTTCTTGTTTAGGCAGTTTTGTTGGCTCCGGAGCTAAATGGATAGTTGTCTATGGATTTGATACTCCTCTGCTCTAGGGATGAATGATGCTGTAAAGGAGAGAAGGACTGGCCCACGGTGTCAACATGGCTTTCTAAGGAGACAGGGTGGGGTTGAGGGCCTCAGATCATCCAACATAAGTGCATAGGTCTTGGTTTAAGACTCAGTTCTGCCGTTGACTAGGTATGTGACCTTAGGCAAGTGATCTAAACTTTTATTGGCCGTGTTTTCCTTAGTTGTAAAATGAAAATAATGTCTTGAAAAGCTGTGCAAATGAGATTATAGTAGACACTCACGGTAGCTATAAGTGTGCGTGTGTGTGAGTGTGTGTTGGTGTATAGATTGGTTAGTGTAGTCTCAGGTACAGTTTAGCTTGGTATGGAATTTAGTCCAGAACTATTATAAACTTGGTATTTTAATCATTTTACTATCTTAATCTTCAATAATCGAGGTTTCATATATCTGCTTGAAGACCAGAGAAAGGTTATCTCTAGATGCATTTGCCCACAATTGCTAGAAAATAAGATGTTAAGACTATTATGTGTTATGTATATACTCTTCATGTTCAGGGTCTTAGTCTTAAATGCTCAAGAAGAAATATGCTACATGTTACCATTCATCTGTTTAGCAAATAGGAGCAAACAGGTGGTGCAGTGGTTAAGTGCTCGGCTGCTAACCAAAAGGCTGACAGTTCGAACCCACCAGCCACTCCATGGGAGAAAGATGTGACATTCTGCTCCTGTAAAGATATACAGCCTTGGAAACGCTGTGGGCAGTACTGCTCTGTCCTGTAGGGTCCCTGTGAGTTGAAATGGACTTGATGGCAGTGAGTTTGGTATCAGCGGTTGTTCAGCATGTTACTGTATAAGAGGCACTCGGCTAGATCCTTGGGAGCAGAGTTCAGAGCGTGCTGGAATTTGGCTCTCTTTTGTATTAAAAGCGTAGGCAGCTTGTAGTTGCTGTCGTAAACAGGAAGGCACAGTTTTTGGAGCAAAGAAGGTAGGAAACAAGGGACAGGAGAGGGGGTTTATGACTTCCTCATTGCCACCTCATTTCTATATTAATAGACTGTTTCTAATGAGAAATGAGTAGGCTCTGAGACTCTGCTGGTTAAGTCTTACATCTGAAGGCTTTTCAAGCCTCAGCAGTTCATCCTCCTTCTTCCTCTCTAAGAATGCAGTGCTAATGTCTTTAGGTTTATAGAAAGTAGAGTGAATTTACTTCTTTTTTATTCTTCCTTACCCAATAAGTTGAATTTTCGTGGTGATTTTTGAATGCGATGATTTGGCTTAGAGTAGAGTACTGTGCAGAGTACTGGTCTGCATCAGGATCCCTGGTTCTTGCGCTGCCACTAACTTAATCTGTCATCTCAGGCAGTTACCTTGCCTCTGGGCCTTTGTTTCTCAAGTATAATGAGGTGGTCATGATCCTGTTTACCCATTCTGTATCACTACAAATTAAACCTTTGGTAAGAGAGGGGGTTGGAGTGGTCTGCACAAGCAAGTATCCTGTTGTTTTTGAAGAACCTAATGTCTCCGAAATCCTAAGGGTAAGAGAAAAATGTTTCTTTCCTCTCATTTTCCATTTCCTTTCCTACCTTGCACTTTTCTTTCGTAGATTTGTTTAGATTTTGAAGAAAAGCAAAAATAATAATTCGTATTAAACAAATTTCAATGCTAACTACTTGTAAAGCACTCAGAAATAGTTAAAGATACAAAAGTAGGAAGAACCCAGAGCCTGCTCACGTGAAGGTTACCATATAACCATGTCATGAGGCTTATGTGATAGGTGCCAACTTAAGTCCTGGAAGAGTGCATAGGAAGAAACCCTGTAGAAGGCTTTGCCTTAGCTAGGTATTAACTGTGAGGAAGAAGACTTTGTTGTTCCCCAAACCAGGAGGGAGTCTGCCCCTTCAGGAGTTGTATTGGTTGGTGACAGGACAGCAAACCTGCTCCATTTCACTTAGGAGAACCTTGCCTTGGGACATCCTGGTCTGTCACCTCAGTGTCTCCAGAAGGGCCAGTGTTTTTGTAACACCCCCATATTGCCCTTTATATTTGAAAAGGCTTAGTGATATGTCATCCAACAACTTGGTGGTGGTGTTCTAAGAGCGGTGACATGCTTTTCTGCAGTCTGACAGTGACTCATGTGATATAATGGTTTTTGCACATAAAACTGGACAGACAGCTCAGGCAACCCTGTGTCTAAATAGTTAGCCAATATGATAATTCTTTGATTAGGACAATACCTTATCTTGATGGAGTGTCAGTACTGTTTTTCCTGTAACTCAGGTATAATTAACTAATAGATAAAAAGTAGAAGTAATTTTTTATGTGAAACTTTTATTTTGCATAGCAATGAGTAGTGGAATTCTGCAGGCTCATCGACTCATGCTGAATTATTTCCTGCCCTCTGTTTAGGTGCGGCGAAGTTGGTAGTAGCTGTGGCAGTATTTTTACTGACATTTTATGTTATATCTCAAGTATTTGAAATAAAAATGGATGCAAGTTTAGGAAATCTATTTGGTAAGTTTCATTTTTTTTACCCACCTTTCTTAACTCTCATTTTTTTTTTTTTTTTAATATTTTATTGTACTTCAGGTGAAGGCTTACAGAACAAATAGTTTCTCATGAAACAGTA